CAAACTCTTGGCATGGCAACTGAAGAAAAGGCAGAAATTAAATACAGTTACAAGCCTAGAGGTGGATGGGAAAAATATATCTAAACCCAATGAAATTAGAAACTGCTTTTTAAGTTATTTCAAAAAACTTTACACTCAAGGCCCTCAAAATGAAGAAGATATAGATAAATTCCTTGAAAAATATGGATTACAAAGTATCTCTCATCAAAGTAAGATGGATTTGAGCCAGAGAATTTCAGAACAAGAGATAGAGGCTGCCATTCAGAATATGCAATTGGGCAAATCTCCAGGACCAGATGGACTGACTTCCGGATACTACAAATCGTTGAAGGAATGGTTGATTCAACCACTAAGAGAAGTTTGTAATGAGATCCTTGAGGGAAAAAAGGCACCTGAATCGTGGAAAGAAGCATATATTTCACTCATACCAAAATCAGAGACTGAAAAGACCCAACTTAAGAACTACCGCCCAATATCATTACTTAATGTGGATTACAAAATCTTTGCAGACATTTTAGCAAAAAGATTTAAAAGAGTGTTGATGGAGAAGATTCATAGGGACCAAGCAGGCTTTCTCCCTAAAAGACACCTGGCAGACAATGTAAGGAATGTAATAGACATTCTGGAAAAGTTAGAGGTGAATATAAACACTAAAGCAGTTCTGATCTTTGTGGATGCGGAGAAAGCCTTTGACAATATTTCTTGGAGCTTTATGAGGAAGAATCTTCATGGGATGGGGGTAGGCCAGGGTTTTGAGAATGGTATGGCTGCAATATATTCAGAACAAAAAGCTAAACTGATTGTAAATAATGTTGTGACTGAGGAACTTAAGATAGAAAAAGGAACACGACAGGGGTGCCCGATTTCCCCATTACTTTTTATATCAGTTCTGGAGGTGTTGCTGAATATGATAAGAAATGACCAGCAGATCAAAGGGGTGCAGGTCGGAGCTAAACATTATAAGTTGAGAGCGTTTGCAGATGACTTAGTATTGACTTTGCAAGAGCCAAACACTAGCACGAAAAAGGCTTTAGAAATAATACAACAGTTTGGCCAGGTAGCTGGATTTAAGTTGAATAAGCAAAAAACAAAAGTTTTAGGGAAAAATTTAACAGATATGGAAAAGGAGAAATTTCAAGAGGAGACAGGTTTGACAGTGGTTAAGAAGGTGAAATACCTAGGGGTATATTTAACATCTAAAAATTTGAACTTGTACAAGGACAACTATGAAAAATGCTGGTCAGAAATTAAAAGAGATCTAGAAATATGGTCAAATTTGAAATTGTCAATGTTAGGCCGAATTGCAGTGATTAAAATGAATGTATTGCCTAGAATGTTATTTTTGTTTCAGACCTTGCAGATTCTCGACAAGATGGAATGTTTTAAGAGGTGGCAGAAAGATATTTCGAGATTTGTCTGGCAGGGCAAAAAGCCCAGAATTAAATTCAAAATATTGACAGACGCTAAAGAAAGAGGGGGGTTTGCCCTGCCGGACTTAAAATTGTATTATGAGGCAGCAGCTTTTTGCTGGCTGAAGGAATGGATGCTCCTCGAGAACACAGACATCTTGGATCTGGAAGGTTTCAATAATGTTTTTGGTTGGCATGCATATTTATGGTATGACAAAACTAAGCAGCATAGTGCCTTTAAAAATCATATTGTTAGAAAAGCACTGTTTAATGTATGGATGAGATATAAAGATCTGTTGGAAAACAAAACCCCTAGATGGGTGTCGCCAGTCGAGGCTAAAGCAGTAAAGAAACTCAATATGGAGGTCGGATGGCCGAAGTATTGGGAAATTTTGGAACAGGATGGAGACAAGTGGAAATTACAAAGCTATGACAAATTGAAGGATAAAGTACAAAACTGGCTTCAATACTACCAAGTAATGGAGCTTTTCAAACAGGACAGGAAAATTGGCTTTCAAGTGGATAAATCAAAACTAGAAATTGAACTGTTAGAACCCAACACTAAGAATTTGTCAAGAATGTATAATTTGTTGCTGAAATGGAATACACAGGATGAAACGGTGAAATCAGCCATGATTAAATGGGCACAAGATATTGGTCATGACATTATGTTTGCCGACTGGGAACAGTTATGGACCACCGGTGTTAAGTTTACGGCATGTAATGCCTTAAGAGAAAACATAATGAAAATGATTTACAGGTGGTACATGACCCCAGTCAAGCTGGCAAAAATTTATCATTTGCCCGATAACAAATGTTGGAAGTGTAAAGAGACTGAAGGTACCTTCTACCACCTTTGGTGGACATGCCCGAAGATTAAGGCCTTCTGGGAAATGATCTATAATGAAATCAAAAAGGTACTTAAATGTACCTTCGCGAAAAAACCAGAGGCCTTTCTCTTGGGCATTGTCGGCCAATTGGTGACAAAGAGGGATAGAACTTTCTTTATGTATGCTACAACAGCAGCAAGAATACTCATCGCAAAGTATTGGAAGACCCAAGATCTACCCACTTTGGAAGAATGGCAGATGAAAGTGATGGACTATATGACATTGGCCGAGATGACAGGCAGAATCCGTGACCAACGAAAAGAGACGGTGGAAGAAGAATGGAGAAAATTTAAAAGTTATCTTAAGGACTACTATAAACTTAATGAATGCTAAAATGTTGCGGTTTCCAGAAATAAAGGGATACAGGGATATAAGGTTAGAAATTTAAAAAAGAACTAAGAAGATAGAGACTGGAAAATAACAATTGGGAGTTGCTAGTGGAACTTTGGACACTGGGATGCAGAGAGGGGGGGTATGGGGAAGTCAAAGGAAAGAAGTTTATGAAAATATGTTTGAAACTATACGTGTATGTTTGTCTTTTTTGGTGTTTGTTTGTTTTTTGTTTAAAAAGTTTCTAAAACCAATAAAAATTTTATAAAAAAAAAAAAAGAAACTCTGAGCCAATGTCGATCCTTTAAGACCAGTGTTATATGCTCCTGGCAACTGCTTCCAGTCACCAGTTGAGCTGCCGCTTTCTGGATTAATTGTAGTTTCCGAGTCACTTTCAAAGGCAGCACCACCTACAGTGCATTGTAGCAATCCAAGCCGGAGATAATCTTCTTCATCCTGGAGAAGAGTGACTAGTGGGGTGCCACAGGGTTCTGTCTTGGGCCCGGTCTTATTCAACATCTTTATCAACGACTTGGATGATGGACTCAAGGGCATCCTGATCAAATTTGCAGATGACACCAAACTGGGAGGGGTGGCTAACACCCCAGAGGACAGAATCACACTTCAAAACGACCTTGACAGATTAGAGAACTGGGCAAAAACAAACAAGATGAATTTTAACAGGGAGAAATGTAAAGTATTGCACTTGGGCAAAAAAAATGAGAGGCACAAATACAAGATGGGTGACACCTGGCTTGAGAGCAGTACAAGTGAAAAGGATCTAGGAGTCTTGGTTGACCATAAACTTGACATGAGCCAACAGTGTGACGCGGCAGCTGAAAAAGCAAATACAATTCTGGGCTGCATCAATAGGAGTATAGCATCTAGATCAAGGGAAGTAATAGTGCCACTGTATTCTGCTCTGGTCAGACCTCACCTGGAGTACTGTGTCCAGTTCTGGGCACCACAGTTCAAGAAGGACACTGACAAACTGGAACGTGTCCAGAGGAGGGCAGCCAAAATGGTCAAAGGCCTGGAAACGATGCCTTATGAGGAACGGCTAAGGGAGCTGGGCATGTTTAGCCTGGAGAAGAGGAGGTTAAGGGGTGATATGATAGCCATGTTCAAATATATAAAAGGATGTCACATAGAGGAGGGAGAAAGGTTGTTTTCTGCTGCTCCAGAGAAGCGGACACGGAGCAATGGATCCAAACTACAAGAAAGAAGATTCCACCTAAACATTAGGAAGAACTTCCTGACAGTAAGAGCTGTTTGACAGTGGAATTTGCTGCCAAGGAGTGTGGTGGAGTCTCCTTCTTTGGAGGTCTTTAAGCAGAGGCTTGACAACCATATGTCAGGAGTGCTCTGATGTTGTTTCCTGCTTGGCAGGGGGTTGGACACGATGGCCCTTGTGGTCTCTTCCAACTCTATGATTCTATGATTCTATGAATCCTGTTAGCACAAAATTGGAAAACCCCAAAAATCCCGACCGTTAAAGATTGGCAAACCAAATTATTTGAATATATGGATTTGGCAAAAATGACGCAGAATATCAGACAGCAAAAAGGTACAAAGTTTATTGATGATTGGATGAAATTTATAACATACATGGAAACAAATTCTAGAGATATAAAAATCACAGTAGGTTTAATATAATCCTTGCGACGTGTAGATGATATAAAATGAAAACTGCAGAATGGAATTATTATTTTACATAACCCCAACTTTTTGTTGTTAACTATGGTTTGTCTTCTGGTTTGTTCATGTTTTTTGTTTTGATTGATGTTTTATTTTTTATTTGGTGTTTTATTTTTCATTTCCCTTTCCCCCCCGTTGTTTGGTGATAGAAAATGAATAAAAGGAATTTTTTTAAAAAAAAAGGTTCATTCATTCATCAGCGACAGAGAAATAAACCCAATGAAGTTAACAACTGGATTTATTCAATTAGACATGCACGGATTGAAAAGAAAAGAATTATTGTTCCTCACTTGATGTTTTATGAAAGGTTAAATAATAATATAAAGTAAATAGAAACCATTGAGCGCAGCTGTTGACTAAGTGATAATTTTGTAAAATGGAATGTAATCAGAAGTAAAGAAGAATATGGAACACAGTACAGTGGTAGCTGGGAAGCCAAACGCCTCCGTAGTCAAATATTTCAGCTCCCAAACGACAAAAGCCTGGAAGTAAGTGTTTCGCTTTTCGAACAATTTTCGGAAGCCAAATGTCCAGCGGGGAGACAAGCAGCTTCCGATTGGCTTCTACGATGGCAAGAGCCAATCGGAAGCCATGCCACAGCTGCAGGAAGAAAAGGAGAGCGGGCCCCCCTCCAAGGGAAGGGGGCGCTGTGTGGGGTTCCCATAGGCAGAATCCGCAAATCCCCAGCACCACGCAGTTTGGGTTGGGGTGGGAGAGATGCTGGCTCTTCAAGGGTTAAAAGCAGCGATTATATTATGAGAGAGGACTTCCTGGGGGAGGGGGGAAGCGTCACTTCCTCCTCCGTTCGTCACATCCTCCTGCATTTGAACAACTGCGAGCCAGGAGATTTGCTAGCACGGAAGACTGTGCCTTTTGCAAGGTAGGAAAAAGAGGGAGATGTGGGGTGTTGTTTTTTTTGGGGGGGGGCTCCCGCGCCAGAGCAGCTCCTTTGCAGGAGAGAAGCCCTCCAGGAGCGGGCAGTTTTGCAAAGGGGCAGGGGTGGGAGGGCGCATGCGTGGGGTTGCACCCCCAATTCAGCACCCCAAGAGCTGCGAAGAGTGCAAACGCTTTAAGGGGTGCAGGGGCGCCCCAGGAGGAGAGCAGGCGGGGGAAGAGGCAGTTTTAGGGTGGGCTAGAAACCCCCCCTCCCTAAAAGGAAAGGAGGCAGGATGGCTCTGGGAAGAGGAGGAGGGAGACATTCATGTTTTGGGGAAAGAGGGGGGGGGAGGGCAGGGTCAGCTGGAAACTCATTTCAGCTCTACAAAGACATGGGCTCTTTTATCTTCGATGCCTTCCCTGTCTGGGGGGGTTCAGGAGGAAAGCCCCCAAGGAGGGTGCAGTCTCTCTGTATAGCAGACCAGCCCTAGGAAGGAACCAAGGTGTTGGGAGAGATGGAGGAGGGAAGACTTTAAGGATGGGAAGAGGAGAACCACTGGACATAAAATGTCATCAGTTTCTCACCACCAGCAACTGCTGCAGCAGAACTGGGGGCTCCAAGCGCACTGAGCTGCCTACACATAGCCTTGCTCCACCTGGGCTACTATTGTTGACACGGACCGGCAGCAATTGCTCTTCCGGGTTTTCAGTCGCGGAGTCTCAACCCTGCCTGGGGACTGAATCTGGGGCTTCCTGCCTGAGGAGGAGATGCTCTGCCCTCGAACTACAGCCCCTTCCCCTAAAGTGGGGATGGGAGAAAGGAAATAAATGTTTTTAATGGTGGTGGGAAGAAGATCTTATTTCAGGCATGGTTCCAGTTTTCAGGCATGGCTTCACATTCACCAGGAAAATGTCTTGGGCAGGAAACTGACTGCAGGGCCTCTGAGGCTGCCTTTGCTTCTTCCTCCCTCCCAGGAACCTGCAGCTTCTGAGCTCTTCAATCCAAGCGAGGATGGAAGGAGGAAGATGGACGGTTGACCTGGACAGACTGTCTCCTGCCTCCCTCCAAACAATCTCTGAGCGTTGTCCTCCAGGACCCTCAGAGACATCTCATGAGTTCCTAGGAAGTGGAGATAGGGACTTGGGGGGATGGAGAGTGGAAGCAAGGAATAAGATAAAGGGGGGAGATTTTACTGTGGAGGCTGTGGGTGGGCCCCCGATATATTGGGAGGCATCCCCTCCGGCAGGAAAATCCCTGGAGGGGCTCTGAAGCCGCCTTTGCTTCTCTCTCACTCCCAAAATCTGCAGCTTGTTTAGACTTCTGAGTCCTGCAAAATAGTTCCAAAGAGGCTGGATTTGTGGTCCTGAGCTGGGGCTCCCCACCTCTGAGGCTGGGAGAGGTTGGCTGAGTTTCAGAGGGTTGGGGGTGGAGAAGAAGAAATGGATGGGTGGGGGCTGGAGGGAAACCCTCCCTGCAGTAAGCAGAAAAGACAGGAGAACACAGAATGCAAGAAGGTCTTGACTTGGAGGAAGGCAGGGGAGAGGTCTTCTCCAAAGTCTCTCACCTGGAGCATGCACCAATATGTTTCTGGTTGCCAGAAGAGGAGGAATGGGCAGGGGAGCCCGATATAGATATAAGACCCACTGCGTTCAATGGGAACCACTTTCAGGTCACTCCTGTGCCCCCCATGCCATGAGACCTGGGTGCAAAGCCCATTCCACCTGGCCTAGGGGGCGGAGCCCAGGCTCACCTTCAACAGCCAAAAGAGGCTCCTGGGAGGGCACTGGGACATTGCTGGAACAACTCTTGGGTTGGGGCAACTGGCTAAAATGCTTTAAAAGGTTCTGATTTTCGTTCCTCCGTTTTGTTTTCGTGGGGTTGGTGTTGGTTAATTGTTTAGTTGGGGTCGGTGGTTATTTTAATTTGGGTATAGCTGTAAACATGTTGTTGTTATTGTTGCTATTCTTATTATTGGTTTGTTTGTTGCCTGTATAGGATATTTCTGTTTTTTTATGTTTGATGTTTTGTTGTGTTTTCCTATATGCTGTTAGCTGCACAGGGTGGCTGTGAGAAGCCCACCAGATTGGGGGATATAAAATTTATATATATGTCCCATTTGGGCTTCTGCAGGGGCTGGAGAATATCTAGGGCAGAGGAATCCCTGCAGCTTCTCTGAGGCTCTTTTTACTTCTCCCTCCCTCCCTCACAGGGAACCTGCAGCTTCTTTAGGCTTCTGAGCTCCTCAGGAAGGATGGAAGAGGCTGATCCTCTTTAACCCTCTTACTGCTAACAACCCCTTGAAGATCCCGGGACCGGGGAAATTAGACTGGCCTTGACTAGAGCCAGGGCCTGTTCAGCCGTGGCCCCGGCCTGGTGGACTGCTCTCCCACAAGAGACCAGGGCCCTGCGGGATTGGACATCTTTCCGCAGGTCTCGCAAGACGGAGCTGTTCTGCCAGGCCTTTGGGCAGGATGCAGTTTGACTTACTTTCCTTTGTATAAAACAAGCCCGAAGGAGGCCCCCAACCTGCTCACAGGTCCTTGTATGATCAGTGGAAACAGTTGGTCCTGGCAAGTATTAACCTCAATTCCAACCTGATAATTGCCAACTGCTTAGATTTTAACTTGTCTGAATTAATTTTAAGATGTATTTTAATTAATTGATGTCTGTTTTTATGCATACTGTGTTGTTTTTATGATGCTAGCCACTCTGGGCCCTGCCTCGGCCGGAGAAGGCAGGATACAAAAAATATTATTATTATTATTATTATTAATTTTATTTATTCTGCTGCAGATCTAGCGAGGATGGAAAGCGGAAGATGGACGGTTGACCTGGTCAGGCTGTCTCCCACCACCTCTGACAGTTCTCTCCCAGGACCCTCAGAGAGATCTGGTGAGTGGCAGGGAATGGTGATGGGGGCCTGGGGAGATGTTGGGAGTGAGGAAGCCCCCCTGGCAAGAAAACGAGGAAGGCTGCAGGGCCAGAGTTCTGGGCTGTGAGAGATGAAAGGTAGAAAAGGAAAGGAAGGTTTTTCAGTGGTGGCATGGGTGCAAGATTTTTGGTGGGGGCGGCAGGCCTTTTGTTAGGGGGGCAGCACTGGCATGATTGGCCAGTTAGTTAAGTATTTCTAATGTTTTACCTGATCTGGGGGGCTGCCCCCCACCCCTCCTTGGCTATGCCCATGAATGGTGGTGTGAAGAAAATTCTTTTTCAGAGTATAATATTGTGTTGGGTCCTGAATCTTCCGACACTCACTGGTATAGCTGCAGCAATTGCCAGATGAGGCACTGAATGGGCTTCATCTCAGTATGGAGACAGATTTCCCCCCAGTTTGCAGCAGCCAAGCTGCCAGGTCAGCAGTGAGAAACTTGTGGGTCATTGCAGCAGTCCCTCTCTAGCCCACAAAGCCATTTTCCTCAAACCGTGTTCTGCTGCCCTACATATCAGAGGTCAGGGGCCAGGATGTGACTGCAAAGGATATGTATCAGGATCCCGAAAGTGCACCGCTGATTGTTCCTTGGCACCTGAGACTTTCTGTCAGATGAAACCTTATGAAACGTGGAGGAGGCCCCAAGACAAAATGGAGTACAGGAATTTAAAATAAAGAAATATGATTGGGGCCTCCGTTTGGACTTAGACTTGGAAGAGATAGACTTTGTGGAAATACTTCAGCAGCCACCTTTGAATCTTCTTGTTGGAAGAGGACATATTTTGATGGTGAAAGAACTTTTCCCAGATCTGACGACTGCTGTAAAGGACTACCAACAGGACAGGCGGAGAGGAACGGAAATAGATTTGAAAGCCTCGGACGTGAGGAACCCAGGCTGAGAACTTCGAATTTGGATTTTTATTGGGAAGGGACAAAAACCGGGGATGGGAGGGAGGGAAGAAGAGACTCTTAAAAACTCTTAAGACTTTTAGGTTTGGTTAAGATGACTCTTAATTAAGATAAAATGAAAATCGATGGAAGAGAACTTAAGTCCAACTTATGAAAACTAATTTTTATTATAAAAAAAAGGAAATAAGATGAACAAGATTGTTAAGAGGAGAAATATCAACTTGCTGACATAATCTTGAAACAGGGATGCATTAGGGGGGGTGGGGGGAAGTCAGGGAACAAGGTTATGAAATGGGGATTTGCTGACTTTATATATGTTTTTGTCTTTGTTTTTTCTTTGTGTATGTTTTGTCTTTATAAAAGCAGAAAACCAAATAAAAATTTTATTAAAAAAAAAATGAAACCTTATGAAACGTTGTCTCTTTCAGCAGATTATGATGCGGCACTTTGGGATCTTCACTAGTTGCAGATCTTGCAAAAATCCCTGTAATTGCTCTTATAAGTCTTATTAGAGGAACGTCTTTTTCAAGAGTGCAAATTTTTTATTCACCAGCTGATGTCGCTGTTTGAGTCACTCCCTCTCTGCGATTTTCGACCCCCTTCTCAATCTATGTCCGTCTATGTCAGTCTTATGCAATTCATTTCCGTTCCTCAAACCAGGAAATGTCAGTCTAAGAAAATGTCGGAGCACGTGAGTCAGCAGAAGTACCGTATTTTTCGTCCCATAGGACGCTCCGTCCCATAGGACGCACCTAGTTTTTTGGGGGGGAAATGAAGGAAATTTTTTTCTCCTTTATTTCCCCCGCAAAAGCAGGTCGGGGAAACCGAACAAGGTCGAGGAACAGCGGGATGGCGGTGCTGCGCCTCCCTGCTGTCCCCCGAGCTTGTGGGGCTGGCCGATGTCTGCCCGGCACGAGGGGCGCTCTGCTTCAGGGCACTCCGCCCCCCGGGTGGCATTCTGCTACCCGCAGCGTGGGGAGCCCTGGGGGGAAATTCCTGCAGGGCTCCCCATGCTGTTTTTTGTTGCATCAATTAAGTGTTTTAAATTTGTTGTAAGCTGCATTGAGCCCGGTTTTCTGAACCAGGAAGGGTGGAGTATAAATAAAAAAATATTTATTTATTTATTTATTTATTTATTTATTATTATTCTGCAAACCTAGCGAGGATGGAAGGAGGAAGATGGACAGTTGACCTGGTCAGGCTGTCTCCCACCACCTCTGACCGTTCCCCTCCAGGACCCTCAGAGAGATCTGGTGAGTTCCAGGGAATGGAGATGGGGACCTGGGGAAATGTTGGGATTGAGGAAGCCCACCTGGCAAGAAAACGAGGAAGGCTGCAGGGCCAGAGCTCCGGGCTAGCAGAGATAAAAGGTAGAAAGAAAGGACATGAATGTTTTTTAATGGTGACATGGGCATAGTCAGAGTTTTGGGGCTGTTGTCTACCAGCTCCATCACAGGCTAAGTCCCTACCTGCACATAGACTGTGGTACATGCTATGGTTATCTCCCGCTTGGATTGCTACAATGCGCTCTAGGTGGGGCTGCCTTTGAAGGTGACTCGGAAACTACAATTAACCCAGAAAGCAGCAGCTCAACTGGTGACTGGGAGCAGTTGCCAGGAGCATATAACACTGGTCTTAAAGGATCTACATTGGCTCAGAGTATGTTTCCAAGCACAATTCAAAGTCTTGGTGCTGACCTTTAAAGCTCTAAATGGCCTCGGCCCTGTAGACCTGAATGAGCATCTCCACCTCCATCCTTCTGCCCAGACAATGAGGTCCAACTCTGAGGGTCTTCTGCTGGTTTCGTCACAGTAAGAAGTGAAGTAGTGGAACCAGCCCTGTGGAACACCCTCCCTTCAGATGTCAAGGAGATAAAGAACTACGTAGCTTTTAGAAGACGTCCGAAGGCAGCCCTGTATTGGGAAGTTTTTAATGTTTGCTGTTTTCCCTTAATTTTAGCAGGTGATGACCAGGGCAATAATGGTTCTCGGGGCTCATCAGAAAGAAATAAGCATGAAGCGAAGAGAACAAATGATAGCCCTTCGTGTGGCAAAACGTTCAAAGGTAAATCGAGCCTCAGCCCACACTGCAGAATCCACTCAGAGGAAACACTGTGTAAATGCTTGGTGTGTGGAAAGAGCTTCAGTGACAGCTCAGGCCTAAAATCACATCAAAGAATTCACACAGGACAGGAATCATACCAATGCCTAGAATGTGGAAAGAGTTTCAAGCGCCACTCAAACCTTAAAATACACCAGGAAGTCCACAGCAGGGAAAAATCACATAGGTGCTTTGAGTGTGGAAAGAGCTTCAGTCGCAGCAGATGCCTTAAATCACATCAAAAACTTCACACAGGGGAGAAACCGTATACCTGTTTTGAGTGTGGAAAAAGCTTCACTTGCAGCTCAGGCCTTGTATCTCATCAAAAAATTCATACAGGGGAGAAACTGTATACCTGTTTTGAGTGTGGAAAGAGCTTCTCTCATAGCCAAGGTCTTCTTGTTCATCAAAAAATCCACACAGGAGAGAAGCCGTATAAATGTTTGGAGTGCGGAATGAGCTTCGGTTATAACTCAAGCCTTACATCGCATCAAAGAATTCACACTGGGGAGAAATCTTATAAATGTTCAGAGTGCGGAAGGAGCTTTGCTCACAGTGCTAGCCTTACTTCACATAAGAGAACCCACACAGGGGAGAAACCATATAAATGCTTGGAATGTGGAAAGAACTTCAGTCAGAGTTCACACCTTAGTTCACATAAGAGAACTCACACTGGTGAGAAGCCGTATAAATGCTTTGAGTGTGGGAAGAGCTTCAGTCAGAGTTCACACCTTACTGTGCATGAGCGAATCCATACAGGGGAAAAACCATATAAATGTGTGACATGTGGAAAGAGCTTTAGTACCTGCACATACCTTGTTTGCCATCGCAGAATCCATACAGGAGAGAAGCCATATAAGTGCTTTGAGTGTGGAAAGAGCTTCAGCCAGGGTATAAGCCTTCATATACATAAAAAAATTCACAGAGGTGAAAAACTGTATGCATGTTTTGAGTGTGGAAAGAGCTTCACTCAAAGCTCAAGCCTTGAATGTCATCAAAGAATTCACACAGGGGTGAAACCATATACCTGTTTTGAGTGTGGAAAGAACTTCAGTCACAGCACAAGCCTTACATATCATCAAAGAATTCACACAGGGGAGAAACCATATAAATGTTTGGACTGTGGAAAGAGATTTGCACATGGATCTGGCCTTACTTCTCATAAAAGAACTCACACAGGGGAGAAACCATATAAATGTTTGGAGTGTGGAAAGAGATTTGCACATGGATCTACGCTTACTTCTCATAAAAGAACTCACATGGGATAAACCATATATATGCTTGGAGTGTGGGAAAAGATTTGGTCAGATTTCAGAACTCATTTTGCATAAGCGAATCAAGAGGAAAGAAATATTGAGATGCTTGTAATGCGGAAAGCATTTTAATTAGAGCACCGCTGTTGCTAAACTTCATGGAATTCATACAATAATTCTCATGGGAGAAATGGTACAGCTGCTGTCACGAAGGTGCCGTCAACTACAGGGCTGGCTGGCTGCCTGGTGAAATCAGTGGTGCTGTGAGCTTCTTTTGCTTCTTTCATTTAAATCAACAAAAACACACAGAAACATGGAATGTATGTCCTCAAAAACCTGAGCTGTTGCCTAGAGTGAGTGTTCCTGCCCCCAGCAGTTACTTCCTGGCCTTGAGTCCCTTCCTGTTGTCTACGGGGGCCGCTAATGGAAAATCTCTGTCTCTCTTTGGCTTTCTGCTCTGTGAGATGAAGGGCACGCCTGGTTGTAGGGGAAGGAGGGGACTCCAGTATACTAGAGACATCGTGTCGCTTGGCTGCTGTGATATTTCTAACGCAACAGGCTCCTGTCTCTGTTCAGGGCTGGAGCACCTGCTATCTTGCTCCTATTGATCCACTATTTCCCAGCTCCTTCCTTCTTCTGCGGTGTGTCCCATCTCAAACCACCGCAATTCTAGGTCCATACTCCCTTCCTCTTCCCCTTCTCTGAAGCCTATTGGAGTGGCAGTCTCCACCACTCTTGCTCATCTCATCTTTGAAAACAGACCAAAGGATGGCCTAATATGGTCACACTCTTGTCTAAGGAAGCATGTTGTGTGGAAAGGCAGGGAAAAAAGGCCTGAGCATCATGTACTGCTTCTGAACTACTGCAGGTTTCTGGATGGTGCTCTTGGGTACAAGATGGTGCCATCCATGGACCTTGGGTCAGATCCTGCAAAACAGTTATTGAAAGCGGACCAGGATTCATTGCTTTTGTTTTGTAGCAGTTGGGTAATTTGATTGTAGCTGGTAATGAGGCATTTCCCTTCTTTCCTCCAGGTGTGTCCCACCTTTTCCTTGTAACTTCTAGATGAATTAAAGCATTATATTTGAGCATTATCATGGGGGTCAGAGTAATACATTTTGTTACTGTGTGCTGTTGTAGTTACCTTTCACTGGAAAGGTGGAATATAATCAGGTATACCTATAAATGCACATGCACAAAAACACATGCATACTCAGAAATAATAAAATTCCTTGCTTATAAACCACTGCAGGAGGAAGCAACGCCTTGAAGCAACATTCCAACATATTGTTAGTTACAAGCAGGCCCACTAATTCAGATTAACACCATCAGCTTCTGTCCATCTTTATAGAATAAGTAAAAATGCTATATTCTTAACCATATTGGATTATCTTTTTTAAAAAAGGGAAGGGGGAAATTGAGTTCCCCTAAGTGTTTTCATTTGGAAAATCTTAACGCACTTCTAGTCATGCAAATTCTTCATAGCTTTCCTGAAAGCTCTAATGGAAACTTTTGGAACAGGGCAGAATTAAAGCAGTAAACAGCTCCATTTTAGGAAGAAAGTGAAGAAAACTGCCTTTTAAAAAAATACAGTGGTACCTCAGGTTACAGATGCTTCAGGTTACAGACTCTGCGAAGTCAGAAATAGTACCTCAGGTTAAGAACTTAGCTTCAGGATGAGAACAGAAATCGTGTGACGGCGGCAGCGGGAGGCCCCATTAGCTAAAGTGGTACCTCAGGTTAACAACAGTTTCAGGTTAAGAACGGGCCTCTGGAACGAATTAAGTACTTAACCTGAGGTACCACTGTAGAAGACATTGCAATTATTCAGGCTGGAACTTGCCAGAGCCTGGAGTTCAGTTGCCAAGTCACCTCTGTCCCGAAGGGGGCATAGCTGGCAAACCTGCAGAGGTGAGAAAAGCCATGGGGGGCAACCAGTGGGAGTGGAGAGGAGCCCCTCCGAAGTTTTGGAGGGAAGATCTTGAGAGGCCAGGGGCTGAGCTGGATTGGAAAGCAGAAAATAAAATGGAAACCTTTCTTTTAAATAAAAGCATACATGTGCTAGGAACTCCGCAAGAGCTGAGCTATTGTTTAGAATAGAACAGAATGAGTTGTAAGAATACAATTTAAGAACCTATTTATTAACTGAAAACAAGATTAGGCGAGAAAATAATTATAATCAGCCCAACAGTTACCAATAAAGTGCATGTATTACTCAGCCATAAATAAAACCTTCACAAATCCACCTTGGTTAGGAAGCACGCTAAATTGACAGCCTTTATAGCATATTTAACCTGAAGACTGGGGAAAGTCATTCTACACTTCAAGCTGGGATCCAAGGAATCGCTTCTGTCAACCGGAGGGAAAGTTCTGTTGAACAAATGAAATTGTTGGAGAGGCGATGGAGGAAATTGTTGGAATGATGATGATGGGAGAGAAATGCAAGATGGGCCTGCGACAGATTGCAATGGATTGCTCGGAAGTCGGTTCAGCAACACATTGGGGGTGGGTGGGAGGAATCACCCCCCAACCGCCCTGTATTTCGCCAGAAGAAAGGTAGCAACCCTACTTTATGGGGTACAAAGAAGCAGAATCCGCAATGTCCCCAACACCTTACAGTTTGGGGTGGGGCGGTGAAGGGGGACACTGGCTCTTCAAGGGTTAAAGGCAGCGATTATATTATGACGCTGGACTTCCTGGGGGAGAGGGAAGCGTCACTTTCTCCTCCATTTGTCACATGTGACAAGCTGCGAGGGAGGGGATTCTGCAGCGCGGAAGACTGTGCCTTTTGCAAGGTAGGAAAAAAGAGGGATATATTTGGGGGGGGGAGGGGGCTCCCGTGCCAGAGCAGGAGAGAAGCCCTCCGGGGGAGGAGCATGCATGGGGCTGCACCCCACATTTGAGCCCCGAAAGAGCTGCGGGGAGAGCAAAGGACCTCGAGGGCTGCAGGGGCGCCCCAGGGGGAGAGCAAGGCAAGAAGGCGAGGCGGGGGGGGGGGAGTTGTAGGGTGGGGTGGGAAACCCCCCCCCAAAAAAAAGGAAAGGGGGCAGGATGGCTCTGGGGAGAGGAGGAGGGAGGCATGGATGTTTTGGAAAGAAAGGGGTCGAGTAGAGAGGGCAGGATTAGACCAAAGGGGGGGTCTTGGATCGGGGGCTTTCTGCCTGCTGAGGAGATGCTCCGCCCTTGAGCTACAGCCCCTTCCCTTAAAGTGGGGTTGGGGGGAGGGGGAGGAAGTGGGGGGGTCAGCCTTGTCACAGCTCCAGGCTAGCAGAGAAAGAAGGAAGCCAAAAAAGGAATGTTTTTAATGATGGTTTGTAGAAGATCCTCTTTCAGGCGTGACTCCACTTTCCTCACATGGTGGGGTTCAGGAGTGGGGACACTCCTCTTTTATCATGGAGGCTGTAAGTGGGAGCTCCACACCTAGGCAGGCTTATCTTTCACCAACAAAATACGATGGGTGGGAAAATACCTGCAGGCCCTCTGAGGCTGCCTTTGTTTCTATCTCCAGTGTGGTGTAGTGGTTAAGAGCGGTAGACTTGTAATCTGGGGAACCGGGTTCGCATCTCCGCTCCTCCACATGCAGCTGCTGGGTGACCTTGGGCTAGTCACACTTCTTTGAAGTCTCTCAGCCCCACTCGCGTCACAGAGTGTTTGTTGTGGGGAAGGAAGGGAAAGGAGAATGTTAGCCGCTTTGAGACTCCTTCGGGTAGTGATAAAGCGGGATATCAAATCCAAACTCCTCTTCTCCTTCTCCCTCCCTCCCTCGAACCTGCAGTTTCTGAGATCTTCAATCCAAGAGAGGATGGAAAGAGGAAGATGGACAGTTGACCTGGTCCGGCTGTCTCCTGCATCCCTCCCCACAACCTTTGAATGTTCCCTCCCTGGACCCTCAGAGACATCTGGTGAGTTGCAGGGAATGGAGATGGGGACATGGAGGGATGCTGGGATTGAGGAAGCTCCCCTTACAAGAAAACGAGGAAGGCTGCAGGGCCAGAGCTCCTGGCTGGCAGAGATTAAAGATAGGCAGGAAAGGAATGTTTTTAATGGTGGTGTGAAGAAGATCTTCTTTTAGGCATGACTCCAGGTTTCTTCTCTGGTGGGTCTCAGGAGAAAGACACCCCACTTTTACCATGGAAACTGTGAGTAGGAGCTCCACACATGGGGAGGCTCCCACAGCCTAGTTGGTAGCCCCACCTTGGACAAAAGATTCCTGCATTGCAGGGGATTAGACTAGATGGCCCTCATGGTCCCTTCCAACTCTACAATTTTATGGTTCATCCAGGATTGATTTGACCCACTGGGGTGACAATTTGTGTCCATTTTCACAGCATCTCTCTTGCAAGCTTTCTTTGTAAGAGCTTAGCTGGGATGTTGAATCAGTCCCACCCCCCACTCAATGGAGCACATCAAAGGCCCACAATCATCTCACAATTAATAGGCATTCTGGAAATGATATTATAATGTGTTTATTAGAAACAGGGAGAGAGAAAGATGCCACCGGGGAGAGTTTGACGTAATTAGAAACCCTTCCTTTGCTTTGTCCCCCTGGAGATGTTGGCAAATTAGAACTAAAGAACAAGGCCTGATGTTAGGAACTTGGCCCTGGGGTGGCCTTCAGCTCTGGTCCATTTCTGCCCCGCAGATGTATAAAGGCAGCTCGCTGTGACTTGCTCTGCTCTCAGGCTTGGTTTGCAAAAGAACCACGAACTCATGACTGTTCCAGCTGCCACCAAAAGGCTTTGTTGGGTGAGGGAAACTTCACTGGTCAGTATGGGCCAGTGCCGTCTGTCTGTTAATGGCAAAGGCGCTCTTGCTCCTCAAACATACTAATAAGAGCATAATAAACATTAAACAGCAGCTCAAAGGGGAACACCTTGATGGGGGCCTGGAGGCTGGCTGGCAGCTGCCGCCATTGGGGGATGCGGGACTGAAAATACTCCTTCTCAGCAAGGCACACAGTTGCATTTTGCAGCAACCAGCCGCGAGGGGCTTCCAAGCCTTGCTGAGATTGTAATGGGGATTACACTCTTAATTTGGATCCTCTCTTAGTTTCTCCAGGTGGTGGACAGGACAGTCATTGTTCCCGGGTCTCATCAGAAGCAACCGGGCATAGTAAAGGCATTCTTACACAGCCTGATGACAGCCAACGAATCCCAGTTCAGGAGAAACACCGCCAGGGAGAGAAAACAAATCAGTGCCCATTGTGTGGCAAAGCGTTCAGAAGCAAATCTGCCCTCAACTCACATTGCAGAATCCACACGGAGGAGAAAGCACACAAATGCTTGGAGTGTGCAAAGAGCTTCCGTAAGCATTCACAACTTACTGAACACGAGCGAATCCACACAGGAGAAAAACCGTTTATATGCTCAGAGTGTGGAAAGGGCTTTCATCGTAGCAGCTCCTGCAGTAGACATTATGAAATTCACAGGCCGGGGAAACCCTACAAATGCTTGGAATGTGGAAAAGGCTTCTTTCGCCGCTCACAGCTTATAGTACATCAAAACATTCACACAGGGAAGAAACCATATGCCTGTCTAGAGTGTGGGAAGGCCTTCACTAGTAGTTCCGGCCTTGTATATCATCAAAAACTTCACACAGGGGAGAAACCGTATACCTGTTTTGACTGTGGAAAGACCTTCTGTCAAAGCTCAAGCCTTGCATCGCATCAAAAACTCCACACAGGAGAGAAGCCATATAAATGTTTCGAGTGCGGAATGAGCTTCACTCACAGCTCAAGTCTTACATCGCATCAAAGAATTCACACTGGGGAGAAATCTTATAAATGTTCGGACTGCGGAAGGAGCTTTGCTCACAGGTCTAACCTTACTTCACATAAGAGAACCCACACAGGGGAGAAACCATATAAATGCTTGGAATGTGGAAAGAGCTTCAGTCATGGTTCACACCTTAGTTCACATAAGAGAACTCACACTGGTGAGAAGCCGTATAAATGCTTTGAGTGTGGGAAGAGCTTCAGTCAGAGTTCACACCTTACTGTGCATGAGCGAATCCATACAGGGGAAAAACCATATAAATGTGTGACATGTGGAAAGAGCTTTAGTAACTGCACATACCTTGTTTGCCATCGCAGAAT